GTACCAGTACAAACCCTCTTGAAATTGATCTTTTTATTTCTTACATGTAAATTCATTCCTCATTCTTCATAGATTCATTTCCAAGATGATCTGATGATGCTGAGATTATTCCTATATGTGTAATATTGATGGGAGTACCAAGTTTAATACTTACATGATTCTATGAAATTCAGGTTAACTGGAACTTAGTGTAAAATACTAAAATGCTGGGACCATTGAGAAATTGATGAAAATAATGAAAATAATAGGAATGGCAAAAATGAGCTGAAGTAGATACATTAGAGCCTTGAAATTTTCAAATACAAATGCATGCCAAGAATGAAGCTTTGTGGGCTTGGCTTATTGTTTGGGTGGTTGAGCAAACAGAGAAGAGATTCTTTTATCTTTCTCTTCTATCTAAAGACTTTCTTCCATCTCTTGGTAGCAAATCTGAATTTTAGTGTTATTAAACTCTAGTTAGCATTTGACTTTTGACATTTAACATAGGCTTTTAATCATACATACAATCAGAGGAAAGCAACATGGAAAAAGATAAAGAGAAAATTCCCTCATGGTGGGGGACGATAGCCCATACTACTGGTATCTCAGAAAATGCCATGTGGAGGCATTGTTAAAGGGATACTGAAAAGGTGAACATAAGACATATGTGAGCTGTAAGGGCCTTGGAGAAGCTTCACCTTCTCCAAATGTGGCTTGTTTAGTCTGACCAACCAACTTCATTTGCAAAAGTAGACAGTTGATGAAACCTAGATTTTGACTCTCATGGGGGAGGCATCCCCTGGCAGGGTACATGAGGATCCCAAGTAGCTGGGTGAAGCTGATAATGTAGAGATGGTTATTATTTGATTTTGAGTTGACACAAAAGGTCAAATAAGTGAATCTGTTTTCCCAGTGGAATTCACTTACTAGTTTCTCTAACTCTGTTATTGGCAGCTGTTGGAAAGATCAACAAACCAATGTCTATCAGAAAGTGGGTTCTGGACCTTCTCTATAAGAGTCACCTAGGAATGGGGAACATGGGAGGATGGGAGGGTGAGGGAATGGAGGGGATGGATATGTAAATATGAGTAGTAATTAAAGAATAAAAAAAGAAAAAGAAAAACAACAATAACAAAAAACAAACAAACAAAGTGCAAACCAAACCAACCATCTTTCGCAGGATGTTAGGAAGAGTTGGGAGTCTGCATATAGACTTATGGAGTGAAAAACAGGAGAGTGCTTGTGAACCATGAGCATTAAAGCTGATTCTAGGGCTTATTTTCAAATATATTTGTGCTGTGGCCAAAAGAACCTAATTCCAGTGAAATTGTGGACTTGGGCGAATGAATAAACGCATAGAAGAGTGAGTGAATTCCCTCACATGCCTTTGTGGCTGGCTTGCTGATGTTTCCTTAGTTGGTGTGAGAAGGTTTAAGCCCACATATTAAACTCCAAGGAAACCATAGATATAGCCTATTAAAAATGATTCTCAAAACATGTATTTATGTTTATATTCAGGACAGAGACTTAACATTTTTTTAAAAAATACCAGAGTTCTCAGGGTTACACATTCCCAGGAAGCCATCTAAAGTCTGCTTTTCCTGTGTATAAAACAAGGAACTTAGGGAATGCTTCCTTGGTCAGACATGGCAGTGGGGTCTAGGGTCCTTTCCTGTGTAGTTCAAACACATGATCCATGATATCATGAAGGACAAGAAGCTACCCAAGCTGGGGGACTAGGTGGTAAACTTGATGAGTTTGTATGTTCCCTTCCAACTCTTACTTTGGTTCCGTTTTACTACTTCCAAGATTTCATTTAGTGGTTGAAGAATGTACCAGGTCCTGTTTATGAAGGAAAAGTTTATAATTGCAGAGGTGAAGTTTAAGATTTGCTTGCATAAGACATTACCTGTTTACTGTGTGGTCAATGTGAAATGTAAACTAGGCAAGTAAAACATTCATGTTGTTACAAAGCTAAATAGAAAAAGCGGAGGATCATGGTGGGATGAGTATTTGGAAAGTATTCAAGAGAAACAAATCTGAAATTAAAAATTAAACAAATTAATGCTAGTTAAAATGGTACTCGAAACTTCAAGGTTCACTCGTCATTTCCCCATGGCCAACTCTGTATAGCTTTATATAATGGTTCATTATATATGAACAATAAACTATGTCATATTTTTAAGAAAAATTAAGGTCCTTGCCGTGACCCAGATTGTATCAGTCCCACGCTAATAGAGGCTATCTATTCTAGACTGATGTCCTTGGGGGCTTTGATTAGAGCCATCCGAAGAGCTACGGGTCCACCCCTGAGTGGGGGTGCATGGACCTGGAACCTCTTAGCTACTCAGTGGCGGTAAAGACCAGATACAGGCATCTTGTCATTTCAGGAGGGCTCTCAGTCCATGCTGGAAACTGGAGTCCAGTTTATCCTGGCATCCTCCTAAATCGCTTTCCAACAGTCCAGGTGACCGCAGAGAGCATCTACTATTAAGTCATCCTTTTAACCCTAGTGGCACACCTAAAAACAGTCTCTAGGCACAAAGACAAAGCCCTCAGCACAGGGCCTAGGTCTGTTTTAATGCAAACTAGGAGAAATTCTCCTCTGAGCCCATGCCATCCAGTGGCAATTAGCCAGCATCTGCAAGACAATGAATGGAGAATCAGGCTCCAGAAAAATGGAGCAGAGATTTGGACCCAGAGAAACTTTATAATAGATAATTTTGGTTCCCTACAGGTTCTTTTGTATTTGTTTTATTTAATTTGGTGCTTGTAGGAGAGCCCGGGCTATTGTTTTGCTTTGGCTCTGTAGTTAGGGAGTCTGAAGTAGGAAAAGGATGAAACAGGAATAAAGAAGAGTGCTGAAGCTAATGGTGGGTATGATCTGGGGGCTTTCTTGTCTGATTTTGTTTTTAAAGCAAAAGTGATAATGTGTGCAGAGCCAAACATTCAAAAAGGAATTAGTGGCCAGAAATCCCCTTCCAGACCTCCAGGCCGAGGAACAGTTGGCAGTTTTGGAGTATTCTGAACATTTTTTTCACTGATATATGTATATAGATATATACTTGTATGTATATGTTCATGTGTGCATGTGTATTTCATATCAGGTATGCCACTTTGTGAATTATTTTCACCAGACAGCTTTTCATGAGCATCTGTCATGTATATGTGTATATGTGTACATATATACTTATAGGCATATAAATGGGTATAGTTTTCTGTACATTAATGTCGACTCTGCTTTTGCCATCAAATTCTGCACTACGAATGTACCACAGTGTATTTTGTAATTTTTTTATGGTGGACCTTTAGGTTGTTTCCAATTTTATTCTTTTTATAACCAATGAGTCTCTTTGTCAGAATATATTCCTAGGACAGATTCCTAGAAGTAGAGTTACTAAGTTAAAGGAAAGCCCACTTAAAGTGTGACATGTACTCTCAAGTTGTCTCAGAACTATTGTCAGCAATGCCTTGAGGGTGATAATTTGGGGATATTAGGAGCAATCTCTTGGTCACTATCAGCTTTTGTTAATGCCTTAGACGTGTAAATATAATATGTCAAAGATATGATTATTATTGTCTTTGTTGTTTGTTTGTTTTGGTTTTTTGAGACAGGGTTTCTCTGTGTAACTTTGGAGTCTATTGTAATTTTTATTTTTAAATGCCATAGCCAGAAGCACCCTCCCTGAACTTCTGTGTGCCCTGGGAAGTTGCATCCCTTTGCTTGACTGGTAGTGGCAGAGTTCTCAAGGCAGACAAAAGAGCAATGACCTTTTCTAACTTTTTTTGGTGCTGGAGAATTGTCCTAGGACTTGTAATATATTATCTCCAGTTTAGCAATATCCCCAGTCCTTGAAATGATCTTAGCTAGCTACTGGGTAATTTATGGATAATGTCGTGAGGTCAAAAACTAGGTGGGCAGTTCCTTTTCTTTTTAAACTTTTTACTTTAAGGCTAACTATATGCCAAGCATTCTTTTATATTTAGTCTTTAGTGAAAGCTTAAGAAGTTCCAGTCTAAATATTCTTAGCACCCCCTGACCTGTCATTCTCTCCCTCTTTCCTCGATGCTGGGCATTCAACCCAGGGATTTGTGCCTGCTGGGCAATTATTTTATCTCTGGGTAACTCCCTTAGCTTGCATCACAATCTTGAAAGACTTGTGTATACCATTGGGCAATGAAGAACTGACAAACCCTAAAATCTAATTTTTTGGTGCTTACGAAGTATGAGTATGGTGACATAGAAGTGGGTGAGATAGAAGTGGGTGATAAAGGATCCTTCCTGAAAGCAGCAGTTACTGGCAGGTGTGTCTGAGTGTGCTGATGTACCTATCTCTTTTATCCTCTCCTCTCCCTGTCCGTCCATCCATCCATCCATCCGTCCATCCATCCATCCATCCATCCATCCATCCATCCATTCCTTCATCTCATAGTACTGAGAGTCACTATAGAATTTCAGGTCCTTTTACCTTTTTAGTTGAAATGCCATATTGAAATCATATTTTGGCCTTTCTGTACTTTGCAACATTTAAAATGTGGGAAACACCCAATTCTAAATGTATATCCTAGATTCTGAGGATCAGGTGGAGGAATTTAATTCATACAGACTTGATCCTGTTTTTTTTTTTTTTTTTTTTCTATGCCTCAGTATTATAATGGAAGTAAAATTCCACTATAATGGAATTTTTGGTTAGGAAAAGCAGTGTACAAATGTCTCCCACATTACCACAAAACTATTGTACTGAGCTACTAGAATTTCAAACTTCAGTTTTATTTGTTTGTTTGAGACAAGATCTCACCACATATCCTTGGCTAGAAGTCCTTATGGAGGTCAAGCTAGACTTGACCTTTAGTCAGTCCTCCTTCTTTTGCCTCCCAAGCACTAGGATTAGAGGAGTGCATTGCCATGCCCGCTGGTAAGCTTTGGTCTTTTGTATGGCACCGTGTCTCATTCTGATCAGTGCCCAATCAGTTTACAACACTGGCTTTGCTCTCATATTGTCTTCTCTTGTTTCACACAGGCCTTCTTACATCGAATGAACCAGTGTGCAGCAGCAAAGGTTGACAAAAATGTGACGGAGGAAACAGTGAAGGTAAGCAGGCAACTTTAGGCCCTCAGCCAAGCTCAGGTACCCTGAAGGTGATATGTCCATTGAGTGTTCCTTCAGGGCCCTTTAGTTTATCAACAGCTCCCCTGTGAGTTCCTGTAGCAGTGACCAGTGTTGATAATATGCAAGAGGGACTAGAGTCTGGAGAGAGAAACAGCTTACATGTTGTAGAGAATTCTTGTGTTTACCAAGATCATATAACCATTTGAAAAAATAAAAAAATAAGCTTAAGAAGTTAAACTAGAACTGCATTTGCTATGAGAAGAAGGCTGGGTGAGATGACAGACAGTTGCCAGAGTGGTTCAAGAAGTCATGATATGGGGAAATGGGAATTCCAATCTGTGATCTCTCATGAGCAAAATTTCGATCATTCACTATCATACAGAAAAGAATGTAATATTATAACCTAAAAGTAAATCCATAAACATTTCCCTACCTTTCGAAATGTAGGGAAGGGGTGCTGGGATGTGGCTTAGTGGTAGCATGTTCTGGAATGGTTACAATATTACTGCAGGCTTGACGGAACAGAGAAACACCACCTAGGTGGCAGAAGGGTGTCTGGAGGTTGTGCTCTTATTTTATTTTATTAATTTAAAAAAAAGTCAGGGGTTTTTAGATTCTTCTGACTCTGTTTCCTTATGGTTACATATGTAACCTACAGGCTTTTCTACCACTGGAAACTAGTCAGCAAGCTTTGGGTCACAAAGAAAAGCAACCTGTGATCCAAATAGACTTGAACACTTTCACTCACAAGGACTCCAGGTGGACACAAACATCTGTGCAGGTGTTTCTAGGAGGGCAAATTGTTGTTAGGTCTGCAGCACCCAACACCACCATCTGGGTGCAGCACAGTGACCTTGCAGTTGACCCGGCTGTGGCAGTTGACAGGGCTGGTCCATTCTGGGTTACCTTTCATAATGTCAAGGACTTCCCCAATAGCCTGTCAGCAAATCTCCCACACTTTTATTTACAGGCATTCATGGAAGAGGGTGGGGCTGGCAGGCTGGGATTTGCCTTGCACCCCACCCCCACAGGCTTTTTCCTGAGTTTCTGCATGGTGTCTCCATTCCCAGAATTCTGTGGTAATACAGAAGTCCAGATGAATCTGGCTTCTGCTTGCCAGGTGGGAGGTAGAGATGCTGCAGAGTGGCTGTCTGCTTAGGGTACTGTGTTCTCATGGGCCTTTTAATTGAAGTTTTCAAATTTGCTTCACAACTGCCCTTACATTACAGTTTTTACTTCTGTATTTATCTTCCAGATGTTGTTCTCCAACATTGAGGAGATCCTTGCTGTCCATAAGGAGTTCCTGAAAGTTGTGGAAGAGTGTTTACACCCCGAACCCAATGCCCAGCAGGAAGTGGGAACCTGTTTTCTTCACTTTGTAGGATAATTTTTTTTCCCTGCTTATTTTCAAACTCTTTCTCTTTTGATTTTAAGGAGTGCATCTTGGCAGAGTAGTGTGTGTGTGTGTGTGTGTGAATTCAGCATGAGAAGTGAAGCTGGACACCAGAAGTTTGGGGTCTTTTAAGGCCAGTGAAATCTTGCCCTCGGAGCCAGGAAAGGGGAGGGAGTCTCTCATCATCCATTTCACTCAAAGAATAAGCGGCCTTTTCTTTTTCCTGACAAGCTAGTTCTTCGCATCCTCTGTAGCTTTGAATTCTAATGAATATTCAGCCTGTTTCATAATGAATGGATTTTTATGTTTCCCTCAAACATAGAACATTTTTCTTTTGAGGCAGAAAATTCTCACTCTTATAATGGCACTGCAATCCTTTCTTTATTGGCCAGACTGTTCCCTTGTTAATTGGCTGGTGACAAACCTGGAGGTGAACAGACCTTTGCTTCTCAGAGTTTGTTTGGAGTGCTGTTGGAAAGAATGAGGGGTAAGGGCTCAGTTGTCTGGAACACACACCCTGTGCCTTGTCATCAGCTGAACGCATTTGTACAGGACACCTGGGATTATGTAACCAATTTGCAAAGAAAGAAGCCACCTGCCTACTGAAAATTGTTTTTAAGAACTTAAGGATAGTCATACTACAAGAAAAAAATTAAAAAAAATTGATACCTTCCATTGATGCTAATTTTCAGAATATCTACTCTGAATATCTCTGAATATCTACTCAATGATGGCATCACTTACACAGCTAGGTGAGAATGAGGCTTGGCATATGTTTTCCACTTAGTCATTTATCTTACAGTTTCTTGATATATATGTGACGAACGGCTCTTTTTGTAATCTCTATTTCATAATGATCATTTTGCCACAGGGAGATACTCCTGGGATCTGGGTGGATTAAACTGTGCATTTCTTGGTTGTGGCTGGAAGCTGGAGTGTGCATATCCGCTTCCTCAAGCCTGTTTCCTTTCACAGAAGAGTCAGACTCCCCTGCCAGATGGAGGAGCTGTTACCTCAGGCCAGGGATGCTCGTGGGAACTCTGCACCCTGACAGCCATTTCCTTAGTAACACATTATGAATCTGTCATCCATAAATGTCGCTCAGCTATTTCTGAACTTTCCTCTTGTTCTGCTTGTACCATCTCTTGAGGCAAGTAATTCAACCCATGCTCTGCTGGCTACATAAAACAGTGCTGACTGTTTCTAAGTGTGTGTCTTGGAAATTACAAAGGACACGCTTCTGTTCTGATAATTTGATCAATAAATTATTTGTGTTTTTCATTGGGCCCCTTTGATCACTGTTAATTATAGCTCCTTTGGGAGTAGTCTTACAGATGGTAGGGAGGCCAGAGATCATGATAGCAAAATTCTTCCTTTTTGGAAAGATTCTCCCCTAACACTGAAGACAGTTTGTGTTGTTTCCTGGTAGCTTAAATCATTAGGTCTTGATTGCTCACACCTCTGTCCATCACTGGCCCTGCCATTTACACTAAACAGTCCTTTTTTGGCGCTCTATAGACTTGTTCCCTTCTTACAGGATGAAGGCTGTTTGAAAGTAGCTGTAATACTATATTTTGACCTTTCTGTCTTAAACATCTCTCTAAGTAGCAATTGCTGGGATGTTGTATCTTTAGGGTCTGCCATTATCTTAGTTACTTGTTGTTGTGTGTTGTCCTGTTTTTCCACATTCCTCTTAAATGCAACTGCCAGAATTGGCTAACATGAACTTCTGTCTTTCATGATTCCTGTGTGATGTATCACATACCTCTTCCCTCTGTCTAAAATGACTTTGTCCCTCCTTTTGACTGGGAGAAGTACATTTGTTCCACTCTACCTAGCTCAGAAGTAATATCTAGAAAAAAAAAAAATAAAGCTGTGTCTGAATTCTCCTGGCAAAGGTAAAAACGCTTCATTCTCTGAACTTTGCAACCATTTGGCTCACTCGTATTATTGCATTCTTGTTGGGGCAAATTTATCATCTCCTTTCTAGGCTGTACTTATGAATGGGGAAAATAAATAAAATTTATATGCATATAGTAAATCTCTTGAGATACTGTACCTTTCGGGAGTTTATTTATGCATATCACATGGGTTAAAACTTCAATGTAATATACAGTGGTTCTCATTTATCCTGTCTTTAATTCACAGAAAGACAAGTTTCGTATCTATGATGAATATTGCAGCAACCATGAAAAGGCACAGAAATTGCTTCTTGAACTGAACAAAATAAGAACAATCCGGGCGTTTCTTTTAGTAAGTGAAAATTCATATGTAACCATATGCTGCCATTGCTTGAGGGTCCTACCTGTAAGAATGCATTTGACAGTTTGCCCCTGGTTAACTCTTAGCACATGAAGACTTGGAGGATAGT